CTATATATATTGCACTGTGGCCTACATATCGTCCTTGTTTTCACAAAGTGACGGTAGTGAGGAAAATCGTCACGCAAAGTGAATGCAATTTTTTTCACTACCGTCACTTCATGAAAACAGCGACGATATATCAAGTATACAGTGTATAATATGCCATAGCACTAACATCCTTTTATTTGTGGCACGGCATTAATTTACATTTTCCACTCTACACCCAGGGGGGTGTTTCACAAAGATCCTAAGTAGAACTTAACTCTAAGTTGGACTTAAATATTATGGGAAGCCATTAGCATCCTTGAAAATATTTTGTAAATTTCTATGTAGAAGGCATAAAATGTTGATTCAAATCATTCATATTTCCTATTATCATGGGAGATTTCATGTTCTTGGCGTGGAATTTATAAAAAAAGTCTAAAACACTTGAATTTCTGCTTTTGGATATATTTCATTTTAAGGCTCCAATGGCTGTCCATAATTTTTAAGTCCAACTTAGTGTTAAGTTCTACTTAGGATCTTTGTGAAACACCCCCCTGGTGATGTAAATGTCTACCCTGAAGTGTATGTATAGCTTGCTAACAGCAGACTACACAACCTTGCCAAAACATGCCACCCAACCCCTTCCCCGAGTCATCATCATGCCATAAAAGTTGGAGAGGGTGGGGTGGGGTGGGGTAGGCACATATTTTCTGAAGGGAAAACATAATTTATTTGAAGTTTATAAGTACAGGGGAAATGGGAGGGTCCTCGCATGACCTGCTCACAAAGTTTCAATGTTGTCCTTCAACTGGTAAATATACATGTATATATTATACATTTATAATTGACATTTCTAGCTTTTCCACATTGCCCTGGGCAATAAGTTTGCTTTAATTTAGTTTGTTTGTTTTGGCAATATTTTTAATACCAGGTCAATCTCTTTGAATCTCTGCCAAACAAAAATTCTCCTTGTATCTTTAGCATAATAAAGAATGTGTCTTTTGTATCTTTAACATGTATGTGCATATCAAAAGTAAGAGGTTTTTCAGAGTATTAATCTACACAAGGCCTCACACCATCATGAATTTTTAATACCATATTTGTCAAAGCATTGATCACTGAGAACAAGGGTAGCCCAAACTAGCAAAAGTTAAAACAAATCAAACATGGACAATTGGACATGGAAGCAGTATGAAAATGTATGGGAAGCATTCAGTCCCTTGTGGCTTGGCTCCAGGGCTTGCGTAAGGGCTTCTTAGATGCACTGATCCATGTTTTGAGGCATTTTCAAACCCATTTTATGACCAATGTTTCATAAATAATTTTGGTTGAGAATGAATATCAACCTGAAGACTGTTGCTCATCTTCAATCCTGTACAATCAAAATTTAAACCTGTCACTGTTACATGTTAAAACCCCTTGAGGAAATCCCTGCTAAGAATGAAAGCAAAGTGCATTTCAGCTTAAAAACTATTGCATTTCACGCAGCTCAATGCTCACGTAATGCACATTCTCTGTACATGAACTCAAACAGTGTTGTGAAATTGTGACTACAGTTGCCTTGACAATGAGGTGATGGAGTGTGCACACAAGGAATATTTCATCCAAAATGGTAATCTTTCTCACTCTGCACGAACCAAGAGAAGTGCAAAGTCAACACTGTGGGAAGAATTATGCCCTACTGTAGTCTGCTGTGTAATATCCTGACAACCTCCCTCTAATCATATAATTCAAGTTCATGAAATGAGGCCCAATTCAATACACAGCACAAACACAATTTTTAAAAATCATTCGTTTTGGGGCTGCCATTTACATTATGTTTCTACACAGATTAAACGCCCTCCTGGCTCTCACTCAGTGGAAGAAATTGTATAATGACGTTATGAAGTTGCTCCAGAAAAATCATACACACTTACGTTTGGCATCCGTGACATGCACATCAAGAAGTGTACAGACTACAGTACAGAGTACAGTGTAGTCAACAATTTTTTTTAAAATTTATGTTTGTGTAACTTGTACACTATGCAATCTTTAAAATGAATTGTATTGAACCAAGCCCATATTCCCCACTTCTGTGTCAGTCTGAAGGCACAGACTCAAATTTGATGCTTTACAACGATTCCTAAAGCCTTGAGCAGAGCCTGAATCTGTCATTTTCTGGCTAGAGTATACAGAGCATATTGTAGTCTCGTGACACAAACACTGTTTCACGCAATATGCAACGACTGACATGGGTTTGTGTCTGCAAACAAATTCTGTGTACATTTACAATGGACTAGTTTCCATGGAAACTGGAAGTGTTGGGTACACACCATTCACATCCTTTTCATCTGTAGTAATCTCTCTCTCTCTCTCTATAACATTCTCTCTCCTCTTTCTTCCCTAAACCAATTTAACAATGAGACAACCTATCCATTTTATCGCTCTTAGTTACAGTATATTTCCCCTAAGAGTTTTATAAAAGGCTTTCAAATTGAAAATACATATTTCTAAATTTCAATTATCAATTTCAATCACACGTCTTTCAACACCTACGTGCAGTAAACAGATTTCAGAGAATAAAAAACAAATTAAGTTAGAACTCTGTACATATATGCATGGATACGCATTTTAAGACATGATATTTTTAGTTCTTACTGTCAATAGTTGTTCTGCCTTTTTGCCATTCTCACTATTCACTATTTCATTAAATACTTTACACCAACAAAAGAACTCTCCCTTTAAATGGGGGAAAATGCAGCCTCAAGAATTTCCAAGAAAATCAAATGCTCAATAGAAACTGGAACAAATAGAATAATGTACATGCTTTTTTTAAACTGTCCAAAGTTTCTGATTGATCAGCAGTACTAGTATTGGGTAATGTTCTCTCGAAGGCCAATAAAAACAAGGAACCTTAATAACAATATTTAGAATACAAATTTTAACTGATTTGACAGTCCACGGTATCCGATCAACGAAACTAGTATCCATAAAAATAAACCTTGATATCTACGTTTGTATTGTGTAAATAATTTAACGGGTGATAAAATGAATACAACTGTTCACTATGTACATTAAAGATAAACTTGAGTACTGGTAATGCGATTGCATTGTGAAAGAAAAGGTGTGGAATGGATCAGAAAAGTTGATCATATAGCATGTAAGTAATGGTGTGTAATGCAAGGTTCTAGAGTCATCAAAATCATCATAAATTTGACCGAGTCTTAGTAAAGTAACAAGCACTCACATAGAAAGCTATATATGGGACAACACACATGGTGTCGGGGCTAGTACTACCTTGATTTCCTTGTCTTTCTATGCTCATTACTCAGCCAGTATACATTTTCTTCCAAAATTGTTTGGCACATGTCATTTATTTGTAATCTTGAACATTCAGTGTAAGTTTCGTTTGATTCTGTGAGAATTTTTTTTTTTTTTTTTTTTACCAGTACTGGAGTTTATCTTTAATCACATCAATCTGTAACCTGCATGAATCTTCTTCTTTTTCTCGACTAAATGAAATTACAGATATTTATTCACAATTGGAATTGGTTAAAATTTGCTAAAATGGTATTTATACTCACATGTTCAAGTATTTCTTGATTCTACTCCTTGTAATTCTATGTTTTTGTATATTGTAAATCTTGTTTGTTTTTTCTTTCTTCATCTGTTAATCATTGTCACAATTCAGCCATCCGGCTGCAAATGTAAGTTTTTAATAAATCGTTTTCTTTTTTATTGAATGAGTGACACAAAATAATCACCTTATAAACATCTGTAGTTTCACTTTCATGTCATCAATATTTGTTTTTAAAAAGTCAATATCACTCAATGCTAAGAGATATTAAAGACATTGAAAGCATATATTTGAAGTGTCTTATAAAATTTAATGGGTCATACAGAAAATTTCTTTAAATAGTGCCCTAACTACAGTATCAGTATCCATGTAAATATTGCCTGAATAGATAACCAAAACCAGAACTTGAAGATCAATACGTTGTGACATTGATGTATTTAGTTAGAAGGTGGGGTACATCACATGTAGATGTTTGCTTGGTGTCCAAAGTTTCATATGATCAAAAGATGTAATTTCCTCAGGGGAGACAATCAAACAAAAAAAACTTAAATTTGATAGACGTGGGAAGAAAATGTATCTATATGACAATTTATATTATTTTCTCTCACCCAAATATTTCCTTTTTGTTCTTTGTTTGCTTTTTGTTGTTGCTAAGTACTTTTTTTAAGTTTTACACCGCCCCTTTTTTGTTCTAAATGATTTTATAATTGTATAGCTTGATTATTTTTCTTATCCCAACTTCACTGAGGATCAGCCCTTGATAAGCCTTGGGTCTTTGCTAGTCCACCATTCATGTATATATATATATATATATATATATACACAATTATCATGTATCATCCGTTATTGCATGTTTATGTTACTATTGTAATATTTCATTGTTGTTTTTTCAATTTGCTTTGTTGTACACATTTCACCTGGCCATTTTATGAGTTATGTGGAAATAAATGAACTAAATTGAATTGAAAACTTACATATTCTGTATGAATATGTACATTTTGTTAATCCTTCCTCCTTTTAGGGTTCTTGTAATTAATAAAATATATATGGAATCCATTGGAAGTCTGGAAATATTGGGAGATTCAGAGAGGGAACTTTCGATTGCTAAGAACTGCATAACTTATCACATTTACCTTTAAGATCTAAAAGCAATTCACATACACTTACACTGTACAAAGTACATCTATAAATGCTCAATTATACATTCAGTGTACTATCTAGACAACACAAGTGATTGTTAGGTGGTTAATTTCTGGAGAGGCCCAATACCGGTATTTACTTGAATATTATTTCCATTTCAAACATTGCTTCTTTATAGTACAGGTACATTTGTAAGTACAGGTAAATACAGGTAATGGATTTAAAGAAGTATACTGGAGCTGTGTGCTTTTCACCCTGTAAGCCATCCCCTGTAATTATCTGTTGTCATGGCAATAAAGGATTTATCAAAGGATTTATCAGAGGATTTGTATTTTCAGTAGTGAAAATCATATCTACTAAGTAGCCATACTTACCTATACCATTAATGCTATTCCCTTACTTTACCCGCTATTTACCGGCAAAGGTTTTCTCCTTAGAGAAAAACACAAAAAAGAGTCTGTAAACACAGACTAAGTCTTTTTGTGACGTCATACTCCGTCGGAGTCAGTGCAGGAAACCCCGACCGTCAGTAGTATATAAGGCCCCGCGCCAATAACACTTCCTCTTTCCAAGGCGCCTGTTACGCCATCATCTAACTCAAGGGGAAGGAGGGCGGGTTTGGTATAGGTAAGTATGGCTACTTAGTAGATATGATTTTCACTACTGAAAATACAAATCTACGGCAGACTACGCCATACTTACCTATACCATTAATGCTAGATTACCACATGTTAACTATGGGAGGAAGGGAACACAGATAGATGATGGACCAAAACATAAATAAGTCATCGTGTGAATTCCTTACCCAATTTAAGATCTTGAGCAAGACAGCACTGCCCTTGCAAACTCAGTCTCAGTCTGAAGTACATCGGACAGGTAGCATGCCGTAAAGGTGTTTGAACTTGACCAGTATGCAGCGTTGAGTATGTCCTCCATGGAGGCACCGTTGAAGAGGGCCCATGAGGCAGCAAGGCCCCTTGTGTCATGTGCTCGAATTCTGTCAGAAAAGAGGGCAACCTGGCCCGCTGATTTGATAGCCGACACAATCCAACGAGAGATGGTATCACGAGAGACAGCTTTATGTGGTGGTAGACAACTAACGAAAAGTTGCTCTGATGACCGTAAGTTCTGTGTCCTGTTTATGTACCACTTTAGAGCTCTAACTGGACACCACAGTTTATCTTCAGCGATGGAGGAGAGGGACTGTATGGAAGGAAGAACAATCTCCAGGGGCTGGGATGACTCACGTTGGTTTTGGCTAAGAAGCGTGCATGTGGGAGGAGCCTTACTTTGTTCTTCTCCCAGCGTATGTGACCTGAGCTGGTGGTAAGTGCATGGACAGAACTGCGACGTTGACCAGAAGCTGTTGTCAGGAGAAAAACTGTCTTGATCGTAAGGTCTTTAAGAGAAGCTTTGTGTAGGGGCTCATATGGGGCCCTACTAAGAGTTTGGAGTACCTTGGGGAGACTCCAGGCAGGAGACAACGTCTTCTTACTGGGTCTAGTAAGAAAAAACGATTTCATTAACCTTGTCAGCATGATAGATGAGGATACAGATTCGCCGTTCGAAAACCCTTTTAGTAGGAGACCAGCCTGTAGGTTCCGTGACTAATCTCTGGGAACAAAGGTTTGAAAGTGTTTTTGTGTTCCCTGATGAATACCAAACAATTTTGACTGGGGCTGCCCCCTTGAAAATCCCAGGCATTTTTGTGAGGGGTCAACAAAGGTCATACAGGGTAGAAATTCAAATATATTTCAATCGTGTCGATATGCATATCAAATTACTCGTCTGGTCATGAGGATTCCAAAAATGTATAGTTTGCTATACCTCCGACCTTAAATGAGGGCGCTAGGGTCAAAAACGTTGAAAGGTCAAAACACTTTTGACTGGTGGTCAAATTCACCAACACAGTTAACCTTATCAAATTTCATATCAAATTACTCGTCTGGTCATAAGGATTCAAAAATGTATAGTTTGTTATACCTCCGACCTTAAATGAGGGCGCTATGGTCAAAAAGGTCAATGCACTTTAGACTGGTGGTCAAATTTACCAACACAGTTAACATCGTCCGATTCTAATGATTTTAGTGTCTAATAATATGTTTTCTGACATAACAAACTTAACTAAGCAACTTTTAAAATCAAAAGTGGTTGCCATCACCTTGAAATTTCCCCCAAACCCATGAATAAGAAGTTATTAAACGTTTGTCACCGACACGGCAGCCATTTTGAATGTACAGGGTCAAGGTAAACACTTTTACCTTTGAAAGTTGTATAGTTGTATTTGCCATGTCAGAAAACATATTATTAGACACTAAAATCATTAGAATCGGACAATGTTAACTGTGTTGGTGAATTTGACCACCAGTCTAAAGTGCATTGACCTTTTTGAGCATAGCGCCTTCATTTAAGATCGGAGGTATAACAAACTATACATTTTTGTAATCCTTATGACCAGACGAGTAATTTGATATGAAATTTGATAAGGTTAACTGTGTTGGTGAATTTGACCACCAGTCAAAAGTGTGTTGACCTTTCAACGTTTTTGACCCTAGCGCCCTCATTTAAGGTCGGAGATATAGCAAACTATACATTTTTGGAATCCTCATAACCAGACGAGTAATTTGATATGCATATCGACACGATTGAAATATATTTGAATTTCTACCCTGTATGACCTTTGTTGACCCCTCACAAAAATGCCTGGGATTTTCAAGGGGGCAGCCCAAGTCAAAATTGTTCGGTATTCATCAGGGAACACAAAAACACTTTCAAACCTTTGTTCCCAGAGATTGGTCACGGGACCTACAGGCTGGTCTCCTACTATTTGTGAATAACAGCTATGGCTGACCTATAGCCACGAATAGTGTTAAGTGAAAGACCCTTGTCATAAAGAGAGATAAGGAATTCAGCTAGTTCACCTAAAGATACTTTGGGTGGATCAATCTCTGATTCCCGGCACCATCTGATGTAGTGCAGAAGTCTTGAATCATAGGTGGATCTAGTTGACTCTCGGAGGCACTGTGCTGTAAGATCGGCAGCCCTTTCAGAAAGTCCCGCCGCAAGTGCTGTTGCCCTGTAATTGGCCAGAGTGTTAGTTTCAGTCTCGAAGGGTTCGGGTAGTACTGTGTTGTCCCCGGTTGTCTCAGTATGTCCTTTCTGTCTGGTAGGATTACTGGGTAATCGTTCAGAAGGTTCACCAGAGTTGGAAACCATGGTCGACGGGGCCACCATGGGGCGATTAGGAGGGTGGTGGCATTCTCCTCCCGGACTTTGGTCAGTACCCTTGTGATGATTGCAAAGGGAGGAAAAGCGTAGCTGAGAACGTTGTTCCACGGGATCGAGAACGCATCTGTTGCCAGGGCCTTGGGGTCCCTGTGTTTTGTGCAATATGTTTGTAATTGTCTGTTCAGTTCCGAAGCAAATAGGTCGACAGACGGCTGGCCAAATCGATTGAAGATGTGTCTCGTTATCACGGGGTGGAGCATCCATTCCGTCGGTAGATATCTCCCCCGTGATATGAAATCGGCAATGTAGTTGTCCTTGCCCGGTATGTACGATGCCCGGATGAAGATTGCCTGGTTGATGCACCACTGAAGGATTTCCAATGTTAGGAAGCACAGGGTTCTTGATCTGGTTCCCCCCTGATGGTTGATAAAAGCCACTACAGTCTTGTTGTCTGACTTTATGAGGATTGACTTCCCCTCGATCTCTGTCTGAAAATGTAGGAGGGCCCGTTGGACAGCTACCATTTCCAATTTGTTGATGTGCCAATTTCTTTCCAGAGGGTTCCATGCCCCCCCGGTTTGGTCGAGATCTAGCACTGCTCCCCAACCTTGTTTCGATGCATCCGTTAGGATCGTGAGGGTTGGAGGGGGGAATTGAAAAGGTTTCCCTGCCGTTAGATTGGGGAGGTGCAGCCACCACTGAATTGCTGCTCGAGTCCTGGAATTGTTGGGAACCATTGTCTTGTTTGCCTGTGACGTTGGGCATAGGTATTTTTGTAGGTGGATTTGGAGAATTCTCATGTGTTGTCTGCATCGAGGTACCACATCCACTAGGCTTGCCAGTAAACCCAAGAAGACCTGCCAGTATTTGACCGAGGACTTTGGGGCATGGAGTAGGTTGGAAGCCGTCTCTTGCACCTTTAGGATTCTGTGAGGTGTTGGCGTTGCTTTTTGACTTTGGATATCTATGGATGCCCCCAGAAAATCTGGGTTCCGGGTTGGGGTTAGTTTTGATTTCTCTCTGTTTATGATAAACCCCAGACTGGTGACGAGATCGATTGTGGTCTGAACCTGTCTGTTTAGTGACTGTTGTGAGAGGCCTAGAAGCAGCCAGTCGTCGAGATAGCAGAATATTTTTATCCCTCTCTCTCGTAGTGCGGCTGCGACTGCTCTTACTATGAGAGTGAAGGTGCGAGGGGATGAGCGAAGTCCGAATGGGAGGGCTTGATAGACATATGTTCTTTCCCCTATCGCGAAGCCGAGCAGATTCTGTGACCAGGGGGCTACAGGGACGTGTAGGTAGGCATCCGACAGGTCTATAGTTGCTGCCCACTCGTTGCATTGGATTAGAGGCAAGATTTTGGAGAGACTTTCCATCTTGAACTGTTGATTTGGAACAAAGTGATTTAGTCTCTTTAGGTTGAGGATCATTCTGTATTTTCCAGATTTTTTGGTGACGAGGAATACTGGGGATAAGATGAGACCGTTGCGGGAATTTATGGGACGTATGGCCTTTTTTTGTTCTAGAGTTTGCACTTCTTTTAGCAGAGCTCTGCTGTGTGCGTTGTTCTCGGGGAGGGGGGTGATCTGTCGTAACCAGAAAAGGGATTTTCGGTATACTGGGTCTATCTGAATGGTATAACCTTGGTGGATCGTTCTGAGCACAAACTTGTCGGTGGTGATCTGTCGCCAATTTTGTATGAAAGTTTTTAATCTCCCCCCTACTGGTAGGGGATATTGGGGGACCCGCAACGGTCGTGCCAGATAGTCAGAATTGTTGACCCCCCCGGCCGGAGTGGCGCTTGAATTTTTGCTGAAATTTCGATTGTCCTCGAAAGGATGATTGTCCTCGAAAGGGCTTGTTGTCTCCCCATTTCTTTTGTGGCGTTTTGCTCTCAGCTGAAAATCGGGGTGACTGGCCCTGGGTGGATGGCTCCCGGTATCTGGGAGTGTGGTGTCTATCGTTGTGTGAGTGTCGATAGGTTGAGCTCGATGGGGCAGATAACTTGTACACCGTCTTGTCTGCTGTATTTGATGCAGTGATTGAGGATTCCAGGATCTCCTGGAACTTTCCTCCGAAGAGATCTTCACCTTTCACAGGGAGTTTTTGGAGGAGAGCTGCAGCATTTTTCTCTATTTGGAGATGTTCAAGGACAAGCGATCTCCGAAGGCGAGTAACGAGGATGCTTGTTCTAGTCGCCTGTTCAAATTGGAGTTCTGCAATCTGCAGTAGCAGGTCTGAGATAAGCTTACGATCTTCAGGTGAGATATTGAGCTTGTCTGCCTCACGTTGGGCAGTGAGTAAATAAGTTTGATAGGCAGCGAGCCTCATTGAGCCCCGAGCTGCTGAGTCAACCGCGTGTAACTGTGATTCCATCATGTTAAATTTGGGGGAGCGGAGGGGGTTACGCCTCGACGTTGATCTTTTTGCCCTGGCGTCCCCCACTCGGGTAGCAGCGTCTGGTACGGACGGGGCCTTGAAAAAGGCCTTATATTCAGTTTCCCCGAAGGGAAACTTGCGACTTACCTCCTTCCGCAGGGGTTTCAGTCTGGTCCCTCTATCACTCAGGCTGTTCATGCATGATATGAAGGGGGCATCAAGCTTAATGGCACACGATGATGCTTGTTTGTCACCACTTAGATGAGAGTCCAAACAGAAAATTGGTTTAGGAACATTTTGCTGTTGTTCTGCTTGTTCTGCCTTCAGCTGGGGGCAGTATTTAGTGATAATTTCCGCTGGTTGAAGCGGCTTGATATTAACATCATCTGCGTCCTTAGGGGGAGATTCATGAACACTTTCACCCAACAGAGAGGCAGAGTCACTGGCAATGTCATTGTCTGGAACAGAAAAAGTAGTTCGCTTTCTGCTAATGCCAGTAGTATAATCCATGTCAGAGAGTGTCGAGGAAGAGGCAGAGTCCGTCCATTTTCTCTTCCTGGAACCAGCCATAGGTCGATGATAACTTAGTTCAGAGTTAGACTCATCATCGAGTTGAATAGAGGCGGCATATCGTGCTAAGCCAGGTCGAAAAGAACGAGGAGGGGTAGGGCTAGCCTCCCGACTGCGACGTGAGCTTCCCTCTCGTTGTCTTGGCCGCGAACGCCCGGCTGAGTCCCCGGCGGATACCGGTGGGTCGTCGTGTGAAGAATCGCCCGGCCCGTCGGGCTGGGTTGCCGTCGCCGGTGCGGTGGGTCCTGATTTTGGTACCGAGAAATTCCCAACAATGGGTTGATTTCCGGACTGAAAAGCCGCCTGAAGAGTCTGAAAGAACCAGTTCGCGGCTGCAGATGGATCCATGGACATGATTGGTTGTTTGGGCAATCCTGTTTGTGTATTTCTTTCGGATATATCGACGGATTGCTCATGTAATTCTCCCTCCGTTATTTCGTTTACCGGAAAAAAGTTTGATTGAGTTGGAGTGACAACCTCGTCCCCACTGGGGCTCATAACCTCCGTCCCCAGTGGTAGTCCACTGCTCATTTCATTTTCTTCCGTGGGAGTAGTAACATTTTCCACTCTACTCTCACTCCCCTGGTTTTGTTTAGATATTGATCCCGGGGTAGCACCCGTGTTCTTGGGATTCGATTTTCGTTTCATTGCCTCCGTCCCACGTGGCAGCCCACTAGGTATTTGGGGAGATTTTTCTTTCGTGGGAGGGTTGTTTGGTTTCCCCCGATCAGAGATCGGCTCATGGGATGTAATCGTGGATACCCCCGGGGTAGCACCCGCGTTTTTGGGGTTAGATTTTCGTGTAGTTACCTCCGTCCTCCGTGGTGGTTTTTCTTTCGTGGGAGGAGGGTTTTGTTTCCCCCGATCAACGATCGGCTCATGGGATAAAGTCTTGGACACCCCCGGGGTAGCACCCGCGTGTTTGGGGTTCGACTTGTCTGTTTGTTTCTTGGTTTTCGAAATTGTCTTTTTCGATTTTGATGGTGTTTTGTTCCCCTTTTCATTAGCTGGGATGTCCGATAAGGACCCATCCTTAGCGGTGTTTGTTGACATCGTTTTTATTTGTGAAGAGTTGAAGTCTCGAAGAGCCGGTGAAAGATTGCGAGCGCGCCTGATAACATTGGGTTGTACTATCAACAGGCGCCGGCAAAGGAAAGAGGAAGTGTTATTGGCGCGGGGCCTTATATACTACTGACGGTCGGGGTTTCCTGCACTGACTCCGACGGAGTATGACGTCACAAAAAGACTTAGTCTGTGTTTACAGACTCTTTTTTGTGTTTTTCTCTAAGGAGAAAACCTTTGCCGGTAAATAGCGGGTAAAGTAAGGGAATAGCATTAATGGTATAGGTAAGTATGGCGTAGTCTGCCGTAGATTCCATTAGTGCAAATTAACCTACGCTCTATCAATCTACAAGTATATCTTGAAGCTGTGTACAATTGTATGCATTGGTTGCACAGTACCTGTAAGGTACATGTTACAATGAATGTGTAATAATAATGAATAATATTCTGGGAATACATACTGTACATGTACTTGCTTTTATGATACATCAATGATATCTCTAAGGGCTTTGCAAGTACCCGGTCATCAGATTCAGGCTTGCCTGCACACAATGTCTGCCCATTAATGATAATATTAACAACTATTTCTTATAAAGTGCTTTATCAGTTACAACTTAACCGACCAAACCACTTACAGTATTATTACCCGGTCACTGGATTCTATTACTATTCCACACATTTACAGCGCACACTCTCCACTCCCTCTGGGAGCATATCAGCCAGTCGCCCTTCTACGGATACGCACAGTATGCTAATCATAATACTGTATTTTACTCTCAATATGCAAGGAAGCGAAAGCTCACAAGTATGTACGATTATCAAAAGCAATTTCAGTTCTGAATGGTTGCGGTCAATCATGAACTTTGCCATACAATCTTCTTTAGTGCGTATCTCGCTTTTAAAAACTCTCTGTAAGATTTTCCCCAGGGTTATTTTTAAAACCTACTAAAGGCTAACATGTACAGGTATGTATCTGTTTGCCCACCACAACAATTCTTTGTTACTATCAGAGCATGTGTAATTTTGTTTCTATTAAACCATAGACATCATGTACTCTGATAGTTTGGAGGCACGAACTCTTGTTTAAGGCCAAATAACAAAAAAAAACATGTTTAGCATCCTGTTTTTTTTTAAAATAGGAAGGAGGAGGCCCTTTTTTTTTTCTTTCAAAATGGCCGCTCAAAATGGCCACTCGGTACATTTTCCCTGACAGTCGGACTATTTTTCAAGATGGCCGCCGACATTTTTTTTTTTTTTTTTTTTTTTTAAATCAGAAATAGATCCATTTTAGAAGTGTTTTTCATGTTTTTTTTTCTTTAAAATTTTTTTTTTCAAAAAATAAAAAATAAATAAAAAATAGAAGGCGGCCCCCAAAAAGGAAGCGGGCGGGGATGCTAAACATGTAATTTTTTTTTAATGGCCTAATGTTAGTTGTATTGAAAATAAGAATGAGGTTTTGCAAGACAAAGTTGCATTTCCCTCAAGATTACCTAGAATTTAGCAATTCCATAAACAATCTATTTGTGTATCCTCCAAAACTTGTAATATGTATTACTCAATCAATTACTATAGTATCTAAACTGAGACAGTGTCTTGTGTACCATACAGTGTGTACATCCAATCATATACATTTCTTTGTGTAATTATGCACGCAGATTGAAAAACAGCAGGGGTGTGGAGGCACACCTGAGGTTTCACCTTTACAGTGAATGCAGGGGGGCTATGGGAGAGTTCACACCTTGATCCTCTTATATTTTTCTTTCTTTTTATTACCCATCAGAAGAGGCCTGCTTTAAACAGATATAGTTCACATCTGTTACAAAGTTACTCATTTTCAGTTTTAAATAATAACATTTGAACACCTGACAAAACTTTAACGGTTCATGGCATGCAGGAAGTCGGCATTAAAACAATACGATTTCAGGAAATGAAAACATACACTGATAAATACTGATAAATATATATTTGTGTGGATGGAAAATATTGGTTTAGAGAGCTAGAATTTGGGGGAGGGACAGGTTTCCCCTCAGGTCAGGAAGACATCTGGGTTGTTCAAAGGAGGCCCTTTTTTGTGGTAGACATCCTGTAATTTTGCTTTTATCCATACCATTTAAAGCCTGTCTGCGCTAGTTTGGCCAGGAGGGATTAGACCTCCCTCCTGGTCACTGGCAGGTGGTTATCTCACCAAATCAGCTCTCAATTAACATACATGTAACAAAAAGGGGGCCGTGGGGGACCAATGGGTACCACTTTAGGCATTGTTGGCTGTATAGAAGGTGCAAGTAGCTACAAGTTAAGTGCAGTGGGGCTTTAATGGATTTTCTTTCTAGGGCACATTGTTGGACACAAAATTCTT